ATTTTGGGGGGGGGGGGGGGGGAGTTGCAATTATTGATCAGGTTCAAAGAAATCATACCGAGTAATTGAATCTTTTAACTCATTAACCCCTGAAGACACATTTGAACTCTTCCAATTCAAAGGTTGGAACAGTTCATTATGAATCCTCAGGGGTGAATGAGTTAAAATGTATGTTTACTCGCTGTTATTTTGGCCTTCGTAATTATAGCACTTCATCATGTGCGCTCCACACTCCGCATAGAACTTAATATGATCCGTTATCTGAGTGTTGGTTGAGCAAGGGGAGTCGGGGAAACACGACTCGTGCGTGGGTGTGCGTTCGCGGGTGCAGTAATCTGTGTCGTATTGATATGGTATCTGTGTTTATCAGTGATGTAAACCTATCTTGTTGTTGTTGTCATGCCGTACATTCTTACCGTTACTTAAAGCTGTAGCTGATTTACTTAGCTCTTTCTGACGTCATAAATACAAATACGTCACTTCCTTTAGTTGTACACTGTTCTCATCTACATCATAAACAGATCATCACGTATTAATTGGACTTCTATTATTGTCGCAGCGATGCAAAACAGATGAAGGTAATAGTACATAGTTAACACTAACTGCAAAACATCTTATAAGCAGAAGGTTTCAATTTCTTATTTTGCTTGTATGATTGCTTTGCTTCAGTTCCAGACGAGGTAGACATACTGTACATTGTATATGTGTCTATAAAATTTCCTCTTAAGCATACTGAATAAGTGTAGGAAGGACAATTTATCTATTTAGATATTTATCTATGTAATTGGTTGTATTAAAGCGTCATTCTAGTAAAATACTTAGCTGCTGCGTTCCGACTGGGCTAGGGAGAATTCATGGCCACTAGGTCTGATATTCACGAAAATTAGATTCCACGAAATCCAGGCCATTTTTGCAATCTGTGAGAATTCATGATCCCCAAAAAAGACTTAAATCCCCAGTTTCGCAGATGTTCCTTAAAGTTCAATTTTCTTTTCTTATTTTTCTTAACTCAGCAATATGCTTTCCGTTGCCAAACTGCAGAAATTATTATAAATTAAGATTCCAGTGTACATATATTCAATGGTGAACTTCTGTCCATGATTTGACCTTTTCTAGTTAACTGCTTAAATATAAGTGTTCCCTGTATTTGGAATATCTTTTCCACTTTCTTTGAGTTCCTGTTGCTAAACTCTTTTATTTCTGTGTTAATGAGTAGGTCACCTTGATATTGTATAGCTTTGTTCAAATTGTACTTTATACCCAGTTTGGTATTTTACAATTGACCATTTCCAATGAAGTTTCCCAGAACCGTGTTGTAGATTATCGGACGTCGCTCATATTTACTGACCACGATTGTGTGCGGTAATTACTGCATTTTAATGCATCACCTCCCGTCTTATTTTGTAGGCAGGGCACCAACGTCGCCAGATGACGAAGGTTATAATTTATGTAGAGTGCTTTTTGCGTCACCTCGCTGCACCAATACCATACATAATGTCTTACTGCTACTGTTACCATGGAAACCCAGCAATAACTACTGGCCCGTGGTCATAACATCTCATTGGCTGTCTTGTTCTTTACAGTAAAACCTTTTTGTATTTTGATTCAGTAATTTTGTAAGAAAGTATGAGTCCCTCACACTGATATCAATCTGAAATTACATGTTAAGTACATGTATACTAATGTTATAGTGGTAGGTGTAGGGGGTCAAAACGAATCACCTACTTACTCTTTTGATTATTTTGACAAATTTAAAGGTTGAAAAACATTTATTTGAATATTTTGGTAATAAATATGCATCATTATAGTACAATAAATATTGATTTCAAATCTGGGTTGTTGTCATGGTAACATGTATGACAGAGACAGCTTCCTGCTGTCATTTAAAATGTCCATCCTCCATAAAATACCTACCTAGATAAATATTTATAAATGATATTCATCTATTGAGGTATTTCATCAGATGAAAATGTCATAGGGCATTGGTATGGTATGTTATTGGTGTGATTTTGATGTCATCACAAGCTTGTCTTGCATGCACTTGATATATGTCAACCATACCCTGTACTATCTTTCCTCACAGCAATTACATATCACAGATCAATAGTTAATCTACCGTTGTCGTGGCAACAAAGTTGTTCAGAACACCATAGCAACACTGTTGTTGGCATGGCAACCACATATTTATTTGTGGCCAAGCAAGAATATGCTTTGTATGTTTGTTGTGGAAATACAGTAATATATCACTTTGAGTTAAACAAGGATATAACCCATACTTAAAGTCTGTAGATCACGCCTGTATTAACACTTCCTGTTCGTGGAGGAAGATCGCTGCTGGTGACATCTCCTCTAGTACTGGAGGGTATAGATGTGCTCAATGATTTCTATTTGCCAGTCTTATTATCAATAAAGTAATAAGAAGTTTTTGGGAATTCCATTTTTTGGTTCCTTTCTCAATAATAAGTCATTTGAAAGACCATCACTTTCATGCAAAGTTATTATTGATAAAATTGATAAAAGAAGAAATATTCTCATAACCTTTGTTGTTGTTATTTTATCAATTTGAAATGAGCAAAAAAAACAAGAAACAAAAAAAACTAAGGCAGTTGTTAAAACTGAAAACTGCACAATTCATGATTACAGTAAAGGCAAATTAAGTTATCATAATATATCATTTTTTTTCTTTTATATTTATTATCCACATGTTTTTGTAGAAAGTGCAGGTCTTTGTTTTAATCAACATATTTTTCTAAAACAAATTATCTAAGATTCAAAATGCTTGCTTCACCCTTTGAGGATATCAAATTTTCTTTCTTTCTTGTTGGACTTATGTTTGCAGACAAGAAAATTATTACAAACTTTTATTGTTTCTGCAGTCAAAAAGATGTAAAAAATTGCTTTTGAAACAATCTGCTTTTGAAACAATCTAAATAACATAGTTTCACTTTTTTTTTTCAAATTATTTCTGTTTTGATTACTAAAATAAGTTTCATCCTTTTTTTAGCTACCACTTCAAGGTGTCAAAGGTCATATGTAATTGGGGCATCAAATGCAAATTTGATTGATATGGTACTGGCACTAATTACAAAAAGAATCATAATATGGCTCATAAAATTACTTGGTCTGTTCAAAACACTGAGAGATCTTACCTTCTACAATGATTAATGTTGCACAAACTTAAGATGCAAGCATCTGGTTTTAATTGGCAACTATTTAAGTCGATCTACCTCAGGTCGAAGTCAAAATTACTTCATTAAGAATTGATAAATGTATATATTATATATTTGCCATCATATAACATTGCCACTATTATGACAAGCAGGATCTGAATTCAGATAAATTATCTTAATTTTCTATGATAAGCTGCTTTCAGTTGGAATTCATAGGCATATTGAATGCCAGCTTGACAATTACAAATTTTAAGATGGAGAGCTGATGTGTTTCATTTAATTTGTCGTAGTAAAGTTGGCATTCATATTGCCTGTGAATGCCAACTGAAAGCAGTTCAGTGGTTAAAGATACGTGTATGTACATGTACATCAATAGATTGAAAGTTTAGAATGTTTCACCTGTTTATGCCAGAACCTTTGGAGCACACAGACATGTGTGACCTACATGTTATAAACATTAACGGCCACCTCAATCACCAAGTACTTCCTTATGTCCAGGTGATCGCTTTATGATTGGCTTTATATATTCCCACATGTTATGTTTATGTTATGTTATGTTTCCTATAACTATTTGTTACCCATGCTATTATACATTATAACATCCCACGATGTTGTGTATACCATTTTATCACATAATGTACTGTGTTATCCAGTATCACATAATGTACTGTGTCATCCAGTATCACATAATGTACTGTGTTATCAAATATCACATAATGTACTGTGTTATCACATAATGTACTGTCTTATCACATAATGTACTGTGTTATCACATTCTGTACTGTGTTATTACATAATGTGCTGTTTTATCCCAGAATGTACTGTGTTATCCAGTATAACATAATGTACTGTGTTATACAGTATCACAAAATGTACTGTGTTATCACATAAGGTACTGTGTTATCACATACTGTACTGTGTTATCACATACTGTACTGTGTTAACACATAATGTACTGTATTATCACATACTGTACTGTGTTATCACATACTGTACTGTGTTAACACATAATGTACTGTATTATCACATACTGTACTGTGTTATCCAGTATAACATAATGTACTGTGTTATCCAGTATCACATAATGTACTGTGTTATCCAGTGAATATACCCGTGTCAGTTTTTTTGCGTATTAACCCATGTAATATGACCTATCAGCCCTGTGATTGATTTGTAAGTGTCGATTGTTTCAATTGTGACGTCACGCCAAGGACAAGTACATATGACATCACGGACTTACACATTGGAGTCAAAATGACAGCTTTTTACATTTCAAGGTCGCATGAAAATTGTCGTTTTACATGAATAAATACCACAAATTTTGACTATTTGATAAAAAGGATCTTACAATCGTTTTCATTTCATATGGAATTGATGAAACTTGTCACAATTTTTTTAGTTTAGCTCGCCAGAGGCTCGTAAATTGAAAAATTGTTATACTCGTTTCATAAATCTCATATGAAATGGAAACTCATCTAAGATTCTATATATGTAATGGGTTAAGTTGTATCCTAACATATTGTTGTCACAGGGACCCTGCAGTACACATTTTGTGCGAAATATATATTTTTGTTTGGTTTAATTTTTAACGATTGATTTTGGTTATATGATATTTTGAACCACTTTCACCATAGAGATACTATTGATGTCGTTGAATTGTTACAAAAACTGTAATAATTATGTAACTTTGTTATTTTCACATAAACCGACAAATCAGAGAGTAGGAGTAAGTGTGAAGAAAAAGTTACAACCAACATCTCAATACATCACTCCTGTCTGGTTTTGTGATAGAAATCCGGTTTTGACCTACAACTTTATTGGTACTGTTAATGGTCATTCGCTTGATCAGTGTTTAACTCCTTCACCCCTGAAGTCACATTTGAACTCTTCCAATTCAACTGTTGGAATAGTTCATTATGAAATTTCAGGGATGAATGAGTTATTCAAACTTGAATTGAGTATTACTTCTGTTGGTTTGATTTGATGATAATTGAAGCTACTACTCACCATTATGTTGTACTGCCCAAGTCTCCTCTGGCCCTAACATCTATATGTGAAAATGTCTACTAAGTCTGGTGTTAGGGCCAGAGGAAACCCGGGCTATGTGCTGTATTATTTTGTTAACAGGGTCATTGTAAATGTTGGGCTTTACACAATACTTGATTTGACACCATGCTGTTTCAATCGCATGAAAAATAAATGTTGACCATTACTCATATTTCTGTCATACTTCTATAAAATTTCACCAGTGTCAGTAAATATCTATATTGGTTTTGTCATTTTAATAACTTCATATTATGACATAAAAAAAAGTGTAGTTTTCTATTCTTAAGAAATCTTAAGCTGTGGTGCTACGTCTGTCGTCCGTCCAGCATCAGTCGTCCAGCGTCAATATTTTACTTTAAACAACCAACTTCTTCTAAATAACAAAAACGCCTAGGTGATGGTATTTGGCCAGCAGCATGCTGGGAAGACTAGAATGAAGGGCTACCAAGTTTGTTTAAATTAATGACGTTGAATTATATTTAAGGTCACAGGGGTCAAATATTTTTGAAATTTTTAAATGACTTCTTCTGAATAACCAAAAAGCCCAGGATATTGATATTTGGCCAGTAGCATACTAGGATAAAGGGCTACTAAGTTTGTTCAAATGAATGACCTTGAATTATATTCAACGTCACAGGAGTCAAATATGTTTAAAATCTTTAAACGACTTTTCTTGAAAAACCAAAATGCCCAGGATGTTGATATTTGGTCAGTAGTATATTAATTTCAAGTGCAACCAAATTTGTTCAAATGAATGACTTTGACATTTATTCAAGGTCACAGGGATCAAATATGTTTAAAATCTTTAAACAACTTCTTTTGAATAACCAAAATGCCCAGGATGATGATACTTGGCAATTAGCATGTTAGGATGAAGGGCTAGCAAGTTTGTTCAAATGAGTGACCTTGAGTTATGTTCAAGGTCATAGGAGTCAAATATGTTAAAATGTTTAACGACTTCTGAAAAATAACCATAAGGCCTAGAATGTTGATATCTAGTCAGAAGCATGCTGGATCAAGGGCTACCAAGTTTGCTAAAGTGAATGACTTTGACTTATATTCAAGTTCACAGGGTCAAATTTGTTTAAAGTCTTTAAACAACATCTACTGAATAACCAAAAGGCACAGAATGTTGATATTTAGCCAGTAGCATGCTAGGATGAAGGGTTATCAAGCTTTTCATTTGAATGCCCTTGACCCACTTTCAAGGTCACATTTGGTCAAATATGTATAAACATTTAAATGATCTAATCTCAATAAAAAAAGGATTGGGTGGTGATATTTTGCAAGTTGCATCCTGAGATGAAGGGCTATAAAGTTTGTTCAACATAATAACCTTGTTCAACCTTCAAGGTCACAGGGGTGAAATGTTTTTAAACCTTTTAAAAGGTTATCTTGAACGACTTACAGTCATAAATACTGATAATTTGCCTGTAGCTTTATTTTAGATCATTTTTGAGGTTACAAGTGTGAGATTAATACCAGGTGAGCGATGCAGGCCCATTGGGCCTCTTGTTTTATAAATATCACTTGCAATTTAAAATATTTACACTTATTTGTACGCAAATTATATTCTGCCATCATTGGTGGGTACATCACTTTTTACATTACCCCTTGTCAGAAATACCAAATGTGTAAAATTATTGTTTGGTATGCAAAATAAGTGTGTTTCTATGGTGATGAATATTTTTGCGAGTTTCTATGGAAATCACATATAACATATATATTCATGTAATATGGTAGCCATATACATTTTCCAGAATAATATTTATGTATGTTTCTATGGTAACCATCCACCATGCAATGATTTGTTTTTCTCCATGGTAACCATGTACGTTTTTACGGTAACCACTTGTCATGTTATGTTTTGTGTTTCTCCATGGTAACCATGTACGTTTCTACGGTAACCACTTGTCATGTAATGTTTTGTGTTTCTCCATGGTTACCATGTACGTTTCTACGGTAACCACTTGTCATGTAATGATTTGTGTTTCTCCATGGTTACCATGTACATGTATGTTTATGTACTGATTTAAAATTGTTTTGTGTCCTTCCTGAAAATAACAATTGTGATTGACATGATTTTTTTTTTTCTGATTATTTTTTCTTGTATCTTTTTTAAGAGTATAAAAAAGTAATGATTCTCTAAATCCAAGGTTTTATACATTTTGTTATTTGTTTGGTGGGTCAATCTGGTTTAATTAATCTTAATTTGTATTTAAAATTTCCAGTGATTTTGATTTTTTTACAACCTAGTTGTAGAAAGAATTAACTCATTTTTGTACAAGATTTGAGTGCCTTATCATAATAATATTTGTCATTTTGAGTTTGATCAACTAAGATATTTGTTTCAACTCGTCATTTATGATATTAGATACAATTTTAGAAAAAAAGGTTTATATTTAAAAATGAAGTATATAAATTAAGATATTTGCTATAGTTATGGAATTTCTTTTAGTAAATTGTGAAAAAAGATAACTAAGTTTGAATTTTTCAGAACAAAAGGTGGTATGGCTCTTCATGTTCATCTATATACATGTACCTAAGTTGACATAGTAGCAGCCCTGGACACTAGGCAATTTGGAAAAAAAAATCAATCACAAGACTTCCATTCAGAATTTTATTACAGCAATTTTAATGAACGTTGATTATGTTTTGACATCTTTCATCCATTGTTAAGTTTCGTTTGATGAATATGAGGTTGACATTATTTTGTAGATAAATGTCAAAATTAATATCTCCGACTTACGAAATGTTTTTAAGTACTGTATAGTCTGAGTTAATTTGGAGAACATTGTTGTGAGAGAGAGACAGAGCTGTCTATATCGTGTTTCAATGATTTCGTATTGTCCACGTTTCAGACAAAACCCTCGGTGAGTAGGTGATTTGGGGATTGGTCTAACATTTTGTTGTTATGCATGCCTTGTTCTGTTTATTGAGTTATTGGCAGACTCATTCCTGTCAATGTTCCCATGTGCTGTTGTGATTGTAACAATCAAATGATATACCCCTCTTCCCTCCTTCAAGGAGCTGTGTGTGATGTTTCACCTCCTCCCCACCCCAACCCCCAACTATCCACCTAAACAACTATGGTTTATCAATCCCCCTGCTCCCCCAGGGTCCCCATTTGAAAGGTGAAAGGTTGTTTGTGTTTTGTCAGACTTTTCGAGGAGATCCTTGAGTGATTGAGTAAGAGTTGCTTCCCCTTCCACAGAATGTCCTCGCCATGCACCATTAGTTACCTCCCTTCCTCCTCTTTAGGATGATACCTCCCTTTCTCCTCTTTAGGATGATACCTCCCTTCCTCCTCTTTAGGATGATATTTCCCTTCCTCCTTTGATGATCATCTTATTGAATAGCCCATATGCTCACCTCCCTTTCTTCATAACTCCTCTTGAATAGCCTGTTTTCTTACATTACCTCCCTTTCTTCTTGGAGGACTGCTTATCTCCCCTCCCCCACCTTGGTCTTATATAAAAAGCTGGCTTCATCCTCTTCGTATGTTACCGATAATGGGTTAATTGAGTTCCCTTTCTACTATTGTTTATTCTGAAGCATTAGAACATGTTGCAATCAAGACCGCTATTCGTACTTCTTCTCCAAAATGAATCTTTGGCCTAAAACTTTCAAAACTAAAATGTAAAAGGTTTGACTGTAGCTAATGCAGAATGTTCAGATAACAATAATTTCAAGGTTTGTTGTATACTTCATGTGTTGTGGTATACCTCGTTCCATGATAAGTGAAGATTAAGATTGTCAATAGTTCTTAACTGTCAAAGTCCTCTTCAACCCAAAATTAGTAAAGGTGGTAAGTGTTTCTTAACTGTCAAAGTCCTCTTCAGCCCATGATTAGCAAAGGTTGTTAGTGTTTCTCAACTGTCAATGTCTTTTTCAGCCCATGATAAGAAAAGATTGTCAATGGTTCTTAACTGTCAATGTCCTTTCTTAACCGCAGACCTGTATGTAACATAGGACTGTCCCCTATTGCAGACCTGTATGTAACATATGACTTTCCCCTATGGCAGACCTGTATGTAACATAGGACTGTCACCTATGGCAGACTTGTATGTAACATAGGACTGTCCCCTATGGCAGACCAGTATGTAAAATAGGACTGTCCCCTATGGCAGACCTGTATGTAACATATGACTGTACCCTATGGCAGACTTGTATGTAACATAGGACTGACCCCTATGGCAGACCTGTATGTAACATATGACTATCCCCTATGGCAGACTTGTATGTAACATAGGACTGTCCCCTATGGCAGACCTGTATGTAACATATGACTATCCCCTATGGCAGACTTGTATGTAACATAGGACTGACCCCTATGGCAGACCTGTATGTAACATATGACTGTACCCTATGGCAGACTTGTATGTAACATAGGACTGTCCCCTATGGCAGACTTGTATGTAACATAGGACTGACCCCTATGGCAGACCTGTATGTAACATATGACTTTCCCCTATGGCAGACCTGTATGTAACATAGGACTGACCCCTATGGCAGACCTGTATGTAACATATGACTATCCCCTATGGCAGACTTGTATGTAACATAGGACTGTCCCCTATGGCAGACTTTTATGTAACATAGGACTGTCCCCTATGGCAGACCTCTATGTAACATATGACTGTCCCCTATTGCAGACCTGTATGTAACATAGGAATGTCCCCTATGGCAGACCTGTATGTAACATATGACTTTCCCCTATGGCAGACCTGTATGTAACATAGGACTGACCCCTATGGCAGACCTGTATGTAACATATGACTATCCCCTATGGCAGACTTGTATGTAACATAGGACTGACCCCTATGGCAGACCTGTATGTAACATATGACTATCCCCTATGGCAGACTTGTATGTAACATAGGACTGACCCCTATGGCAGACCTGTATGTAACATATGACTGTGCCCTATTGCAGACCTGTATGTAACATAGGACTGTCATCTATTGCAGACCAGTGTGTAACATAGGACTGTCCCATATGGCAGACCTGTATGTAACATAGGACTGTCCAATATTGCAGACCTGTATGTAACATAGGACTGTCCTCTATTGCCGACCAGTGTGTAACATAGGACTGTCCCCTATGGCAGACCTGTATGTAACATATGACTTTCCCCTATGGCAGACCTGTATGTAACATAGGACTGACCCCTATGGCAGACCTGTATGTAACATATGACTGTGCCCTATTGCAGACCTGTATGTAACATAGGACTGTCCCCTATGGCAGGGAAGGAAGATCATGCTGCAGTTTCGTGTGCTCACATACAAAATGAACACCAATCTGGAGACCAGATATATATTTAAATTGTAGGAATTGAAAACTTCTGTCCAGTATCTATGAAGTTGAGGGGCATTGGTTGCCTTTGTGAATTCCTTTCTGGATCTATATCTGTCAATCAGTCTGAATGATTTCTGGAACATTTCTCGATACCATTTCTTGTAGAATCATCAAATGATGAATGTTTAGGGAAGGCTAAAATGCTGCCTTTTAAAAATTGGTCACTGAGTATTTTATTATATGGTTGTGTTCACTACAAAACATGTATTAATGTCTCCTCCCCATATACAACTGTTATCTGAGTACAGCTAACATTCACAATCCATATAAAACAATATATTTATCCATACTGATTATGATATGTGGGTGGGCATTTTCCACGAAAACGGACAAGTGAAAACGGATTTAACAGCAAGGAAGGAATGTCAAAGAAAGTTAACCAAGGTACGGGATGTAATGGACAATAGACAAGCTGAAGGTGTGTGAAAAGTGATTAGTTTATCACAAGCTCCATCTACGTGGAAAATGAACCCTCACATGGCTCACAATCTGTATGAAAACTAATTATACCATGCAATTAAACTTAAGTAAGCTGTGTCTTTTTCCCCCGAAAGATATCTCGATCTCTTCTTTGTCCCCTCTCTTACGTACAATTCTTTTTTGTTATATGTATATTTAAGTAGCTCTAACATTGCGTGACATGTATTGTAATCAATTATTTTTTGTCGAAGAGGACTTCAATAAGTTGTCAAAACTTGTGTCAAATTCGTTTGCAACATCTGTTATTTGCAATAAAATATGTTTAAATCAAAACTGGGTATTTTTTTGGCCGTTGACCTTAGTCAAGGAGAAACTGCCTTGAGTCAGAGCATTTCTGCTTTACTTTTCATTGGATCGTCAAACTTTGTGGAGTTTTAATGGTGAAGAGTACAGATATAGGGAAGACGGAACGTTGCATACCAGAAATAGGTTACTGTGACCTATATTTTGATCTCAGTTGTCAATCAAGGATATAATGTTTTGGATATTTGTTCAAAAACCTTTTCATATTAGATCATGTGTTAGATCATAAAAGTTAGTATTTGTGTGTAGGAAAAGTGTCTGAAGGCCCCATGAGAGAGATGATATCAGTACACTTGTCTGATGGCTTTTATCGAGATGGAAGGAACGTGTGCTGACAACACCCCGTTACGACTGACTGACTGACTGTGAAGGTGTCACTCCTCTGTAACCTTCAAAGGACAAGAATCATCTTAGTGGTTGATCAGTTTTTAACCACAAAATCAAGCCTTCCATTATGTTGTGACATACTCCCGGGGCGCAGATTACTGCGAGCCTTGGATTTTGTCGGATTTTGAAGATGTAATGTCACATGTATCTGGAGCACCCATACGCATGCTGTGTCAATATGTGTAAAACATGGGATTAACGTCTGAGATTTGTATTTGTTCATGTGACTGTCACATGGTTTTCTTGATTACTGACTTCTGGTTTTTTGTTAATATGTTCTGGTGACTAACACCTGGTTTTTTTTATGTTACCATGTGTCTAAAATTTGTTTTTTGTTGGGAAATTTTGGTTACACACTCCTAAACACGTTTTGTCTTTGTTGTCACACACAATTATTGGTAAAACATCAAAATGTGTGCATATCTTATCAAGATGTGAATGAACTAGGTGGATATATTGCAAAAGTATATGCCTGAATTAATCCTGCAATAAGCAAAGAATCTCAGGCTCAGAGTGAAATTGGGGGAGGAAGGGAGGGGGTAGGTTGCTTTTACGGAATTATGAAATAATATAATTTTGGTATTTGTACTGAAATGAAATAGATATAGGTGGGTTTATTACCGGGCAAGCACTTATTGCTGGATAAATAAAGCTCATATAACAAATCCAACACATTCTTTGTTAAAACAACTTACTATTTTGGAGTTGTCTCCCCTGCCTAGTACTGGTAAGCTGTTTTTTAGCCTGATTTGTTTATAAATACACATAGTCTGGAACTCATAAACTTGAATTGTAATTTTATTTCTTTCAAGTGTTGTCAAGTTTGAAATGTTTTTGATCCTTGGTTACGATTACCACTGGTTGCCCTGCTTGGTACAGACCTGTTAGCACGGATAGAGCGGCTCCTCTCACACAGAATTTCTGTTACTCATGCACTTTGATTTTGTTTTTCAGGTCTAAACTACACAATTCTCCGTCTGCCGTTCTGGTACGAGAATTTCTACACTGTCTTCAAGCCATACAAACTGAAGTATGGAGTATACGCTTTAGGTAGGTGTTTCTGGTTGTTCAGTGTATGAAATGTCAAAAAGACAACTGAGTGACTCGAAGATATTGTGTAACAAACCTACGTAGACTGGAGTTGTCATTTCTGTATCTGTGTTGGTATAAACATAAGAGAACTTCTAGACCGAGTTATTTATTCACACTTTTGCTGAACCCTGGGATCAGCAGTTAATTTTGAAAATTTGTTATGAATAAAGTTGAAAAGTACAATTATTTTGGATGTCCACAATAAGATCTTTTGTACTTGACAAGTGTCATTACAAATACCTGTATTTTTTACTTGAACTTGTCAGGATCTGCACATGTGGTGTTGTTACATGTATTGTTTATTTATACTGTATATGTCATTGTGTGTATCGTGTCCATGTCAATTATAAATTGTGTATTACAGGGCCTTATTGTAAATCAGATGTAAATCTACATGTGTAACCCTGTCTAAATAAAAGATTTTATTATTATTATTAGTTAGTTATGAACATTTGAAAAAAGTAAGATGAATCGAGATTTGAGACTCCATGGTAGTCATCCTTTGAATGTCAAGGATCCCCGGTTAAAGCGAACTCTTTGAATGTGACCTTGACCTTTGGACCCCAAAATCTATAGGGTTCCTGCCCATTCAAAGTCTAGTGGTGTTATGTGGTTATAATGTTATATTCTTCAAAGTTCGGGAACAACTTTTCTGCAATTCCCAAGTGAATGGGTCAATGTGAACTTGGACCTTCACAGCTAGGTATCCTTTACTAGAATAATGAAGTAATTGATGAAATGAGCTGAAAAGGAACACAAGTGATTCACGTTACAGTGTACGCATCCTTTCCATTCCGAGTCGTTATTATGAATTATATGTTTGTTACGTGTTTGTGTTGTTGATTTTCGTGCCTGTTCTGATTGGTTATATAATTACTTGAATGCTTGTTTTTGATTGGCTGCAGCACTGCCCTTGGAAGATGGTGCACTCGACTGTATGGCTGTAGAAGATGTGGGAGAGTGTGTTTATGACATTCTGTGTAAGCCCAGGCTTTATTATGGTAAGACGTTAGGGCTGTGTGCTGACCGACTGTCCCTGGCTAATGTGGTAGACATCTTCAACAAACACTTTGACACCATGAAGTTTAAGGATCCAAAAGTACGTACAGTGATCTCCGTTTATTGAAATGTAACATAATTAAACAATTTTGTTTCTCTGGACTTAAACATTTCACGCATTTTCCACTTAAATAGAATACACAGCAAAACTTTCATACATTAGGTTAAAGTCTGGTAATCAACATGGTGGTAAATAATTGTTAGCATAATGTATCAGAAAAATAACAATTGCACCAGGACGAAAAGGTAGGGGTGGAAGGAAGGTGTTAAACATACAAAATGACAATTTAGGACTTTCTCAACACTAGATTAACTGTTATACTAAATATTATGGACTTTTGGTTGAAGTGAATATATGATTATATAGACTTGAAAAAAAGATATTGATGAGGTGGAAGTCTAGGTCAATATCACTTTTTCAGGTAAATAATAATATGATGTCATAATGATGATGACAGAACATGGGAAATGGCATCCATAGATGATATGAATGCCATCAGAAGTTGGTAAGGTAATATTGTAGTAGTGGCATAGAGTGGTTAATACTACCTTAACTAAAATAAGTAAAAACTGTTTACTGGTACGCGTATTGAACCTATCATTATAGGTATGGAGGATACGAAGGTCTACCCAAGGTTGTAGAATTTCCATATCCCCCTTTACCTACACCTTCTTCTTCCACCGAGAAATATTCTTAAGATGCCCAACTGTCTCATGCTTGATTAAGAATTTTCCGCCGAGTGTTGGGATCCTCTCGCTTCGGAGGGATATTGTAATAATCTCACAGGATTACTCCACATTGGTCAGGTGTTTCTTAGATATAGCATAATACATATTCTTGGATTCAAAATGATAAACATCGTCATTTCAGATGAAGATTCGGGATTACGAGAACTTCAAGTTTTCTGGTGCAAAGGACCTTGCTGCCATGTTCGAGTTTTACAAGGATGGCACCTGTGTACGGGATATCAAACTGACGAAGAAACTCAACTCTCGCATAAAATCATTTGATAAATGGATGGACGAGAATAAGGACTATGTAGAAGAGGCAATTCGTGTAGACGAAGAACTCGACCAAGCATGAATGGAAGTCTTAACGCCCTTCGTGTGAAAGGGTGGTACATTTCCCTGTGGACTGGTAGTCATGAATGCTTATCTGTGATAGCACGCCAAATTTAAATGGTCATTTTTGTTCATGACTGGGAGAACACATACCGGTACATGTAATTGCATCATTACATTTAGGATAAATATTGCTTAATTGAGGATAAAGGGAAAATAATTATAAAAATTTGCCATTTCAATTGATCAAGAAAAATCAGCAGCCTCGATGAAAATGACTATAATTTGGTGACGTCAATTTCATCCTTTGATTACTGTCACTTGAAAAGAACTATGAATGCTTGATCACTTCATTGTCTTCATCAAGAGAACCCCAACTCTTGGGTTGTTTAGACTAAAATGTACATCCATTTGACAGCAATAACGATAGCTGTCAAATTTATATTTACAATAAATCAAATGTTATTTAAAGACAGTTTGTATATCAGTAATCCTGGTGGCCAAAGCTGGTGACTTTTTTCTGATGACATCAGCGCGACTTACTGACTGCTTGCATGGGTCTCTTAGCCTGAAATTTGAATCTCAATAGAATTTGTAAATAATGTATTAAAGATCACTACATATGTATGACATATCCCCACAACACCCTCCTTCATACTCCAGGGGTTACGCTCACTTACACTCTCTGCACCCCTGGAATATCGCATAGCAAAATTGAAGGTACAAAAATAGCTATTTGATTGGTCTCAGGTAAATATCCTGACCAATCGCTAGGCTGATACCTATCCTTTGAAGATTACAGAGGATTAACATTCGACTTCAAAATCAGTCAAGTTTACTGTTATGCGATCGTGAGATTCTTTCAATGTTCATCAAAGGATCAAATCAGTCTCTTGTCTCATCCAAAAAGAGGATACACTTTGCCTTTGATTATGTCATGACATATTGCAGGGGTGTAGCGTTCAGCAGAGTTCTAGATGTTATACTCCGTCCATGCAATAGAGCGCGTACGACACGGAATCCGTGACACTTATGTAGGTAGAATTGTCATAATCAATACTAACATATTTTGTTAACTTGCATTTGAACTAACTATAACATGTATTGACTCCTTTTAAATCTAATTTATCATTTGTTGTTTGTTTACTTAATGCTGGTTATAATGAGGTTAGAGGAATGTGAAAGTTGTACATTAAATTCCACAAGGAATCTATATATGGAAAAGAAAATGTGAAATATTTGAAGTTTTTCCTCAAAACTAACTCTAATGCACATGTTATTTTGTTAATGTAATTAAATACATTTGAATAATGCTAATAAAATTGACATGGAGAAAAATTTACTATTTTTTGGTATTTTAAACTTTAAATAATCAAATAACAAAAGCATTTTATTCCAAATATTAGATTTAAGAATACTGTGTGCGTCATACGTTTCTCTTGGAGGGGTTTTGTGATTAGTTGATTGAAAAGAGTTCTAACATATAGATATTTCTATAGTTTAAACATACAGAACCTATTTCCAGATTATTAGTCCCCTACCAGTGAAACCGGGGGGACTATAGGTTTCCTCTCCGTCCGTCTGTGTACGCTCTAGCGGCTTCATTCCTTGAGGGATTTTGATCAAACTTCACACAAATACAAAGGACCATAATATTGCGAACAAGTTTGAATTTCAGGGTTGTTGGGTCAAGGTCACTGACTATGTTTAGAAATCCTTGTCGGCGCTCTAGCGGCTTCATTCCTTGAGGGATTTTGATCAAACTTCATACAATTACAAAGGACCATAATATCTCGAACAAGTGCGAGTTTCAGAGTTGTCGGGTCAAGGTCAAGGTCACAGTTACTATTTTTAGAAAATCCTTGTCAGCGCTCTAGCAGCTTCATAACTTGGGGGATTAGGATTAAACTTCATACAATTACAAAGGACCATAATATCTCGGACAAGTTCAAGTTTCAGGGTTGTCTGGTCAAGGTCACCGTTGATATTTTTAGAAAACTCATTATTAGCACTCTAGCCGCTTCATTCCCTGAGGGATTTGGATCAATCTTCACACAATTACAAAGGACCATAATATCTATGACAAGTTTGAGATTCAGGATTGTAGAGTTGAGGTCAAGGTCACCGTTACTTTTTTTAGAAAATCTATTCTCAGCGCTCTAGCAGCTTTATTCTTTGAGGGATTCGGATCAAACTTCACACAATTACAAAGGACCATAGTATCTCGTACAAGTTTGAAATTCAGGGTTGTAGAGTTGAGGTCAAGGCGACCGTTACTATCAATACAAAATTTTGGACAAGTTAAAGCCAGCAGTGATGGACTGATGATCGATATATAATATTCGAACATCGATGGATTTGTCCTGTTCGATTCCAATTATCCATAACAAATTTCATAATTGATATAATTGGTTCATTACTAGACTTAAAGTGTCATATATGTATGTAATATACAGTATACATGGAAATTCATTTATTCTGATTTTTTTTACAATATGATTGATTGTAATGTAGAATAGAAAAATTACATTAAATTCAGGTACAAGCTAATTGTATACTTTTTATTTTCCCAAATTAACACCAAAAGGCACCATTTTTATGAATCATTACTGTGTAATAGCTAGTGGGCCGGTAGGGGACATGTATTGCTTTAGCAATACTCAGTATGCTTGTTGACAATACTAAGTACTAGGTAATTACAAGGTTTTTGCCACTTGCAAGCCCCTCTCCCATAGTACAGTGGTAGATCCTGATGGGTTTTATTTTGTTCTACAGGACAAACCTAGCATGTAACTTGTCTCTTCAATCTATATGGACATGTTTATTGTCAGACAAAAATAATTTGGAATGGACATTAGAATTCCAATGGCATAATGTACGCCTTTAAATTGGGAAAAAAATCATATCTAAAGAAATAATGATTGGCATTTCCTAGGGAACTTCATACTCCATGTTCCATGAAGAATCAGAGAGCATCGACCGTATTCATCAAAATCTTCTACTAAAGCCCCCAAAAACAAGAGAATACTGCAGGGTCAACAAAACCACCATTTGAACTCAAAATCATTAAAATTTGGGCAAAATAGGAACAAAGGAAAGATTTACATGGAAAAAAATGAAAAACCATAAGACCAGGTGTTCGGGAAGGGTAAACGTCTTCTGCTTCATCGATAATGCCCTCCAGGACATATGTTAAAGTCAGACTCTGTGCTCAAACTCAATTTCTTGTTCCCGTGATCAATTATAATCTATCACATTTTGTCAGTGATTTGGGAGAACTTGAAGAGAATTAAAGACAACATCTCCTTTCATTTCTTATATTTGACTGTATGACCTTGTACAGTAAAGTTGGCTAGAGGACAAAATACATGCTTGAGCAGGAGTAAAATTAAGGTATTTACGGAAACTACATTGATGCATGATTTTGAAGGCAAAATATTGTGGAACATCTACCTGTCAAAATGCGATAGTCTGGTGTAAGGACCAGAGGAAACTCAGGCAAACTAGTTGTAACAAGTAATGCATGGTTTTATTAAAGGACTTTTTCTTAGTTTTACAACAAATAAAATTAAAGCGGCAATTAAAAAAATAACGTTATCCCTTGTCCTTAAGGTTATTGTTGTTTTAACGCGCGGCGTTGCCATCAGCGATGTCGCAATTATATGACCCATCCTCGCGGCAACCATTGTCTACCTGTCTATTGTCCGATATGGAATGTTGCACGGCACCATTGTAAATGGCGTTGACGTCGCCGTTGATTAAGTTTGGGTTCGGTGCCGTGACTTCAGACCAACCTCTTCCGCCCGATATCTGATTGTTCCCGGGCACAGTTGGGCGTCCTTGGTTGTCAATCGCGTTAATTGCCGTTTCAGTGGTCATTTGAAAACAGTTCTGGCGATGAGACAGTTGTCATTTACCTGACGTGACAACTTCAGACACTGACGTCCACTTCTAGGACGATCTACTAACCTTCCTGTATGTATAACTAACTAGGAGTTTGTTTGTAGGCGAATAGCCCTTCCACTGTTAACTTCGGCCACTCGAGGTTTAGCCCTTCCACTGTTAACGAATTCGGACACTCGAGGTTTAGCCCTTCCACTGTTTACTTCGGACACCCGCGGCATTCTCTTCTTTAGGCAGTCTTGATTGAATTGTTATGCAATAGCCGTGTACTGTGTACTGATAGTAAGTTCGTTTTCTAAAGGTGTCTCAGAAGTTTACATTTTTGTGGAAAGCGTATGACAAGGTTCCATAAATTGAAGCCACGTCCGATTTCTAAACAGTACCTCCTGGACCTAGTCCGAATTATTCTGACGTTTTATCGACTTTTTCATATCGGTCTTTCGTCGATTAACGACAGACCGATATGAAAAAAGTCGATAAAACGTCAGAATAATTCGGACTACTCCTGGACCGTACCAGGAGTAAGCATACTACGAAATTTCACTGAATTCGGTTAAAAAATGGTTAAGTTATAAAGCAAAACGCCGATACATTTCTTTTACCGCTAGTGTAATTAGAATATTTTCCGCCGAATAAAACAATAAACATGAGCGCATATATACAAAGTAAAGTGTATATATGGATAAATGGATGATAATTTCAACTTTCCTCCATCATTCTGTATTTGTACCTAGCCTCCCAGATTATGTTAAGTTACCGTTTTGGTGCGCGTTAGTAGCCTTTTTCTATATACAATGGTACACAGCAGGTCTTCTTTTCCCCAGAAAAAGATTAGGAGTCACTTATTAGGGATTGGCTCTTCTTAGAGCGGTAAAGATAATACCAGGTGTCCCGGAAGGATTAGCGTCTTTTGTTTTATCGACGACATCTATGTGAAATCCAAATAATAGCACGTCCTCTAAGTGAGAACCAGAGTTGTGACAACAATGTACAGTAATGAGCAACATTAAAAGATAGACCTTAATTCTGATTGCACAAAGAAATAAAAACGGTACTGTATTTCCCAATTAGCTCATGACTGCGACCATTAAACTTGATCGTCAACCTGTATCATTGAAAAACCCTTGTGTTGTTATTTTGTCCATCAGCAATCAACATCAAGAAAATCATGATATTTGAAATGAGAACTTGAATACCGAATCAAATGCGACATATACCCCGTAGGTTGGGGAATTAGAAGTGTTACTGTTCAGAAAGGGTAAGTTCGTGATAAAAAGAATCGAAATATTATCGTGCAGCTTAGTAACAACTAGTCATCACTGTTGGTCGTGCTATATTGCAAGCAGGAGATATTTTACAATGAAAGAACCTGATATCCGTCTCCATCAAACTAAAACATCTACTGTTTTAGCTTGTTTTGGCATTTGAACTTATTGTATGGTGTCGAAACATCTCGTCTTTTAGGGGCGAACATTGGTTAATGAAGATTTGCTTTTTATGGTGTGTTCGGGGCGAAAAGACGAAGCAACGACAATTAGCAACGAAATGGATCAAATCAGACAGCCTTCGTGTGAATAAGGCTAGTGTTCAGCCATCAGACCAATTCAGAATGCTCGACAGAGCACATGTACTTTTCTAAAAAAAAACACACTTTCGTCCCTGAGTGTCCTTAAATCAGTACACGTAACCTGTAATGTATAATGATTCGGTAAGAACGGCAATGCAAAGATTTTTCGTAAATTGATGAACATACAATGATAAATATGCTCCGTACATGTATATCTGCTTCGAATTTTTACTATATTGATTAAAAAAATGTTTTCAATGTTTTAGCGGTTTATATATTGCTCATTACACTGACTTGAACTCAATCTTTTTACACGAATCATTCGAGTAAAAGCCGAGACTATTTCGCAAAATATACCAGTGTCATAATTTATTTGAGTCCGGTGTAGAGGATCTTAAATTACCGGTATCAGTACCCCGGTATTAAACTTAATTTAACTTAACTTGTACCACTCATTGAGACCTCTGGCTAGAATCCCTTACCTGGTTATATTGACATAAGGTTAACACGTTATTTGTGTAAACAATTATTTATATAGTCAATAGTTTCTGTTTCATAGCGTAAAAGATCACTTTATTTTAAAAGCTAGATGCTACATCATGTGACATTACAATCTAGTATCAAGACCCCCGCGCGCTAACATCCGGGCAAACACTATTTAACGTTATATGATTGATTGAATAGAAGTTGAAATAACTTGTTTCATGCATGATTGTTGTAAAATACGTTAAGTTTATATTTTTTGTTTATTTCGTTTGAGTGGTTATACGTACGCTTCACTACCTAGTAATTCGGTTATTCAGCAGGCGAAGGAGACATGAAATACGCCTCTAGAATTATGAATGGCCGAGAAATTATAGTGTGAGACCTTATGTGGCGCTGTATGAAGAGTTACCGAACTTGCCATAGCTCTTCTATATTACGAGTTCCTCTGAAAAGCCAAAAAAAAAGTAAGCAGACGGGAAAATTTTTCGATATCCAGTGTTAACCTATTTTGCGCAGTGTTGCAGGTTTGTATTAAATAGATAACAGCAAAAATACGACAGTTTCATTTGATGCTATATATGAGTGACATATAGGCAGACAAATTTTATAATTGAAAAATTGCCTCGCGCCCATTTGGCATTTAGCAACACGAGGTCAAGATGTGCAGGTCACTAAATCACTGTTAGCTGTCATATATTTCCAAAATACTTCCTCTTAACTGTGACAACATATTTAATGTATCGTCCCTCATAACTTCGATCTAACAAATCGTATTTTATTTTGGTAGAAAATGGTAAACTACGTCCTAAGCTACATGATAGTTTCTTTGTATCTTGTCGACTATTCCAAGTTAAGCATACAATGTAGCTTACGGTAATAAAATATAAAAATAGTCTTTTTTCTTGAATCACACGAGGTACTTAACGCCTTTTTTTTATTATGAAAGACGTATACGATTATGACATTTGAGTTCACTTGTACCTGCCATGATATAAGATGGAAAAATACTGTCTTACTGGCCTAGCTTTTCCAGCGATGTGTGACCCTGGTGCTGGCGGTATAACCCTAGGATTCGCTCACAAGGTAGTTCAACAATTAATGTCGTGTCTGGTCAGTGGCTGGATTGGTGTCCACCGCCATATTACACATTATACTATTGAATTATTGTCATGTAGATCTATCCAGGATATAAGTCTGAAATAACTGATTATCTCCCTTTATAATATTTGGACTGAGCAGAGGTTATAAATCAGAACGTCCTCCATGAAAAAAGTGCATACTGGTTTAGTGTGCTCTTCATTTAATATTTTCTTGTATACTAGAATATGTACACATACAAATACTTTCCGATCACAGATGGAAATGTTATCCAGTGATTACAGAATTCTTGTCCTGCTGATTATGGGGGCATTTTGGCCCTTAGCCTGACACCAGACTTAGATATTTTGACAAATAGATGTGCTATTGGGCCAGAGTGCACTACTATATGAAAACGTTGAATTCTCCGACACCATTTAATATCAAACAGTTTTGAGGTGCTGACAACAAAAATCTACTATAATACAACACATACCTTACATATATTGATAAATACATTATTTATAGATCCAAAACCACCCTTATCACCAACAGCTGCTACATTCCATCAGTAGAGTCCTCAGTTTTCAATCATTCAACATTTCCCACTTGAGCGGTGTCCAGACAGAGATTTATTACAGCTGTACAGACAATCTCTGATTGCAGCTTTACTTGATCCGTTTTTATACGCCCGTCGAATGACGTACGGGACGTACTTTGTTTTCTCACGGGCGGGTACACATTAGTGTCCGCTCAATAACTTGAGTAATGTTGAATGGATTCATTTCAAATTTGGTAGGAAGGTTCATTGCCATGAAAGCTCGGACAAGTTCGTTAACCAAAATTATTTGCGGGTTATTTACGCAGTTATGGTCCTTTGTAGAATTGCCGAAACAGTTTCTGCTCAATAGCTTCAGTTATTTTGAATGGATTCATTTCAAACTTCATAAGAAGGTTAATTTCTATGAAACTTGCACAAGTTCGATAACCATTATCTGCCTGTTATTAAGGGAGTTATGGCCCTTTATAAAATTGTCGTAACACTTTCAATAACTTGAGAAATTTTGAATGGATTCATTTCAAACTTCAGCCATAATTTACGGACTTAAGGCCTTTAGTAGAATTGTCGGAACACAATTTCTGTGCAATAACTTTATGCACTTATGGTCTTTTGTGGCAAACTGCTCATTCAACATCTGACGGGCATATCATGTACCACTTCGCAGAACTCTTGTTACTGTTTAGGTTCTAGCTGGTACTCAAAGATTTTTAGTGATATTGTTTTGTTTCGCTCGTTCACTTGATGATATAGTTAACCCTTACTAAAAAATGTAAAATAGTTCAAATCCTTGTTTAGAAGTGTTCTAAGTAGGACCTTCTTCTGTTCTACGTGGCCCTCTGTATTACTCATTGTTGTATTTTCAGATTGTTTTAAGACTGAAAACTTTGGTTGTGCATAGAGCGACAATACATAAACTGTCAAGATTGTTCTTCATAAAGAAGAGAAGTAATAGGTCGTGAGACTCCAGGTTTTCGCTGTAGTGCCCCTGTAGGCCTGGAGCCCCTGGGGTACCATCACCATGGACGACGTAGCCAGTGTAAAGAGCATGCTCAGGGCGGTGCTGATGAGCTGTAAGGAAGGGGTGGCAGCTCATATCCTCCAGAGTAAGTTTAAACATTGTTCTTTAGACAGATGCATGTTCAGATTCTTTATTTCAAAGAAAAATGCCCGATTTACAGAATCTTCTATATTTGCCCTGGGTCATCAATATAGGTCTCTGATCCATGTAACCAACCCTTATTAACAGATTTTTTTGAGTTCTTGCAAGGGATCATTTATCATTTAGCTGCAAAAAAAAAGTTACTACTACCAACAAGCTGAAGAAATTATTCATCCATAGGCAAACTGGTTTCTCTACTGTATACCTGACTATATGTTACTTCACAGGAGATTATCGAGAGATGACCGGTGAACCTCTGCCATTCAGGAAGCTTGGATTTAATAACCTCGATGACTTCATCTACAGCATTCCTGACGTGGTTCAAGTACGCAAGTAAGTATAATGTTGGATAAAGATGTCAAAATCCCTAGGTCTTTCTTCCCTGTTGTCATTACCACACGAACCCCTCTTGTTCTGTACTAAGTTTCAAGAAAGAACGGCATAAGAATGTCATTTTTGATGAGTGATCAGTCCATTAGCTGCTATAAAGGTCCTTGTCTTTATGAAATAATTGTCATTTGGTTTTTTTTCTTTCATATTTGACACATGTGTTAGGTAACGCAAGTGTCTAGGGGATCGCGCATACTACGAAATTTGTTTAACGTGGAACTGCACTATCGATACATACGCCATCTATGCCTATATGTAGTCTTTCTCTCCCTATATGACAGCTGAAATCTCCTTATATGGATGTCATTCATTCACATTTCATTCATATGCAAATGTTTTTGGCAGCGACCCCTAGCATTTTCATTCATACCGTAGTGAGGCCATTTTGTAGTTTGCCAACTTATAGGCAGAGAAAGCATTCACGTCGATACTTTCTTAACTAGCCATATGTATGTGAAATATACAACAATGCATGTATTTTGTGAGTATACAATTAATAAAAAATATTCTGATTAATTTTCTGATGATGCTGTGCTTGCTGAAACTGTGCTTCCCGCACTCTTCCCCGAAGCGGATGGTTTCCTCGTACAGACTTACTGTAGTGTTCCTACCTAACTACAGTACACAGTTCCCGTCAATGTTTGGGTCACTTAACGTTTTGCTTTATATCACAAATATCACCACTGCAAATAAGCCTGAAATTATACCACTGACCACTTGAATGTGACTATTCTTTCCTGCAGAATTAAGAAACTTTTTCCAACGTGTTCTGTCCATTTCAGTATAGTCACAGAATAAATCGACAGGACCAATACATTAACACAAAAGAACTGTAAAGCTAACCATGCTTTGATAACTTGAGCTACTCCTCAAACAGCAAGCAGCCAAGCTGGCTGGATGTGGCCAAAGGTCACCGCCGTGGTTTACCTGTATTTCTGCAAAACCTTATCTCCCTTAGTAGAACATTGGACTAACCTGATCAGCCGGATTTGAATGAAGTCGGTCTATTTGTAAGGTCGAACCATATTTGTAAGTTCGCACAAAGCTTTATCTCCCTATCAGTCAGAATTTTGAAGATTTTGTGCCGCTTTTGAACACAAGTAAAATTAAAAGAAGTACTAGCAGAGACGTATATATTGTAATATATACGTCTTTGGTAATACACATAATATTTGATAATATCCATGAATTGTTTACTGATAATGAACGGCAAAGATGGAGTGTGATATTTACTCTATCAAACATGAACATCGCAAGATATTTTATCAGTACTAATGAAACATGATACGGTGTGTTTAAGACGTGTAGGATTGAAAGACATGTTTGTTACAAACTTGTTACACATTTATTCAATTTAATAACGCAGTGTTTCTATATTTACTGTTTTATGTTGTAAAATATATCTTTGCTATATAATAGGAGTTTTTTGTACTAGAGTGGAACCTACTTATTATGATGTCGCTTATTATAATTCTTTTCCCATGTACCGATTTTATCTTATAACTAAGCAAAAAAATCGTATATTATGATATGGTCAAAGGTTGGACCCCGTTATTACAATATATTTTTCTGCCATGAATGGATTTTATAAGGTAAAAACTCAGGTAAGTTGTCGTGTTTGACACCAGGACATTTGAACAATAGGTCGGGCTAACTGTACATCGCCTGAGGTGATCAATTGTCCACTCCAGGTAAAATTTTCACACCTCGCTTCACCCCCGTCGTTGGAAAACAATAGATCGACCATCGCTTTCTCACATATTTTACATAACACATCACTTACATAATAAAAATACACATATGAAAAATATGCCCAGCAATACTGACTTACGAGACACTACTTAAAATTTATATATATTAAAACATAGAATCCATTAATGNAAGCATGCATACAAGTATGCCGCATCGCATATAAAACCTCGTCAGGTCTTCGCAAGGTGGGGAAAACAGGCGACTTTCCTTCGACCTACCGCCTTGTGTCAATTCCCGCCGCCATGACAAAAGTACCGAAAGAATAGNCGGTTGGGCCAATCCCTACCGACAAGTCTCCCCTCCCTCACCATCGAGACCTCGATGATTGGCAATTACTAGCACATCAAATACATATAAAATACATGAATTAGATTTACTAAAATCATTAAAACTGTATAGTAAATGGTGAAAGTATCGTAATGTTGCCTACTAAAAGCAATAATATGAACCATATATTACGAGGTATATAGTCATAAAAAATCGAAAATGCATATCAGGTTTTAAATACTACGTCTCCTTTTCATAAAAAGGAAAACTGACTTAGCTAAGACAGGTTGAAGCGATTCTTCATTCATAAGAAAAATAAATTGTTCGTTATGGTCCAATAGAAAAATGATTAATCTAAATTACTTGCTCTTTCAAACAGAGGGACTCGAAGGTCGAAATATAGGTTACATTCACATAAAAAGTGGATTTCATTCTCAATTTTATTATTGCAGAAATTGCACAGCCTGTCATTTAATGGAGTGACTGGATGTGTATATCTACCCGTTTCTATAAGTAGCGGTAAGCTGCCACTTCTTAACTTGGCTAATACACTACGGTGTGGTCTCTGCATTAAAGTGGTGATGTAATGTTCCGGTTGTAAATCTTTTTTGAATAAACGATATGTTCGTAATTTATTGCCGTTAATGTTACCTTTATTACCAAAGACTGGAGAACCACGTCTCTTCATCCTTGATGAACATTTTCTGTTTGATTTTTGACATTACACTGTAGGACTGTGTATGATGAAATGGAAATGATTAGGCCAATCTGATTAAAATCATCTTTTACATGGCTCCGTTAACCTACCGACATTTTCTGACACAAATTCTGATAAGAAATTAAAACGAGCATGCCTTCCATTTATATCAACGGTTGCCTTGACACGTCATGTGAGGAAATCATGCCGATTCAATGCAAATTTTACTCCAGAAGGAAGACGTGTGTTTTTAATCATTTAAGCAATGGTTTCTCTATTGCATTACAAGTTGATTTCCCCGTGTCTACGTTAAAAAGTGTCAAAATCGGGGCATGCCGTACTAACACCATGGTGCCGGAAATCGATCCAAAGTAAACGTTATTGTCGTAAACAATTGACGACTACTGCTTTATTTACAATATACACCATTTTGGTTGAACATAATATTTGATTATTAAAAAAATATTTTGTGTTTTTAGTTGTTATTGTTTCTATGCAATTTGATTTAACCACACGGCTTGCGAGGCATGTGATATGTCACGTGATAGTAATTTGCATAGTGCGGCAACTATTGTGACGCTTATGGGCCAAAATGTAACTCGCTGTATGGTGCAAAAATAGGTAAATCATGACTATTTATATCACTTCTTTCATCTTTATCATGACTGTTTATATCACTTTTTTCATCTTATTGACTGTTACATTACGATATCGTTAGCTAGGATGAAGTATAACGATAAATGTAGTTATTATAGTTCCTGCTCGAAGTTATTTGAAAGCGAAAGTAGAATTTACATACTGATCATTACGACAAATGAAATCTTCTCGAATTTTTTTCAACATGCTGATATCAATGACAATTAACAAATGATTTCAATAATTACTTTATCAATTTGTATAAATATCTTATCAGGTTTCCACATTAATCTATGTCTGATGATTATAGGGCATCTCACTTCCTGTTTAGACAACATAAAAAAGTTCGAAAACAGCTTATTATTTTTTGTTTGTTAAATATCGTTTATTATATTAATTTTCTCTGGGAAATAGAAAATCGTAATAACCGGGTTCCACGGTGCTGTTATTATTTATTTCTGACAGAATTTCGGACTCCTGTGGTGCAATGCAGGACATTGCACTTGCCAAATACATTTCAAATGTTGCATGTGGTCAGGTAATATTATGTTTTTAACAGAGCAATTATTTTGGGGAAAAGTTTATGGAATTGTCGGGGGCTTGAAATCCCCGAGCACTCATCCCTTCGATGGCCGATTGGCACTCATATTACAGTTGCATACCTGCCAACCCCGGATATACTAAAAGAGGGTGATGACCCTCTTTTGAAAATAAAAAAAAGGGTCATAGTGCGCGACGGCTTTTTTCGCAACAAATATAAGAAAAATAGATATTAAATTATAACTTAAATATTTTAATGATGTAAAAGTTACATTCTACATTCATTGAACTGTTCTTCCAGCAGACCTAGCTGATCCTCATCCACAATACCAAATTCAAAGCTGAAAAATAAAAAGATTTGTCAACAACACAACTTATAAAATTAATTCATAATAATATATATGATACTGTGTTTTCACAGGCATTTTTTATGTCAATTGAAATGTCCCCTCTAGTTGAGACCATAGCGCCCTCATATCCTCCCCACCTAGTCACTTTCTTAATTGGTTGGTGCATTTCGCAACAGTTCATGGGGCCCCTTTATGGGTATTGAGTCTCGTATTGGTATGGAATCAGAACTTTACCATTAACATAATCATACGAAGAGGTGTATACTGACATATGACCTATGGCAAAATCCTAGCTGACCTAAAGACATTTGTGACACACGTGCACTGCTTATGGTCTATAGGAAATATATGTTTTACCCTCTACCAATAGGCACTCAGGAGATATTGCAACAGTCATATAATTATTCATTCGGAAGTCAACTCTCTATTTATGGCAGAAGCAGAGCCCAAAAATTCTTGAAGCAGTACTTGTTGTTGGTCCTCGGAGGGAAAACACATTTCAGACTATTGCCAACACAGACATTAGATAAGAGTAAATATTCGTTCACATTATTTTCAGGAAATTTAAATGGTGTTTATCCTGCATCTCAACTGACTGTTTTGCGTTCGTTTTTTCCTAAAATGTTATATACACATATATAACTGGAAATATCAAGAAAGCATGTGTCTGGAGTATCTTCAGTATTTTGATTCACACAACAGTCAAAATATTTTGATGTACATATTTTTGAAAAACTTTCACTGTCATAGGTTAAAAAACCTATAGTAAATAGCTTTGTTTTGCTGTTTTTCATTTTTGCCATACCATGTATAGTCTGTACAGTATGTACATATATCTAGGTCATAGAAAAGTGTTGACTTGGTTTATTAACTTCACAAGTTCAATATGTTATAAATACAGAAACAGAAAATAAGTCAGAAATATAGTCAGAATAATACTAATTTCTAGTTAAAATATTTACAAATAAATATATTTGTAATTTTAGAAAAATTTCAATTCAATATTTAATTGCTCATTTTTAGTTACCGTACATAGTAATTTGAAGGCAAATGTCAAAACAACAATCATATAAAGAAACTTAGACATTTTGAACAACATGTAACTTACACAGACCACCTACGTTCCCTAGTTCAAGTGACGGTTTTATCGATAAACAAGAGTGGAGCATAAGTTGAATAGTGTCGGTAAATAAAATTTGTATTAAAGTATTTGTGTTTAGCAAAGAACAAATCTTGAATAAATTTAAGTTTAATTAGTCATTTGTCAGTTGTGTATTATAGCCACACCTAAACAAGAACATTGTATGTGATGTATTCCAGAAACAACCAAGGGGACATAACCTATCATGCCAAGGCAAGCCAACAGACCGCTCACATCCAAAACATGGTCTCAAAACAGAGAAACACAAAGAAAAAACGTAAACTGATGGTGAGTTATTATCTAAGGAGGTCAGTTCAACAAGTTAACCTTGATGTTGTTAATGATTTTTTTTGTGATTGTTTGGATTAATTCAATACCTCTGTTGACAACAGTCCACCAAAGTGATAATCTGAGCCTGAGTGTTCAAACATAGCAACTGTTCATATCAATAATGGTTGTGCAAGTATATGTAGGCAGTTGGCTCTGAGATCATGAAAAAATCTTAAGACTTCTGTTTTTGCTTTGCCTATCAGGTACATGATGTCACTTATTAGTGGCCGAGATGGCCAAGTGGTTAATGCGTCTGACATTCTGCTACCACTAGCCCTCCACCACTGGGTCGCGGGTTCGAGACCCATGTGGGGCAGTCGCCAGGTACTGGCGGTCAGTCAGTGTTTTTTCTCCGGGAACTCAGACTTTCCTCCACCATCAAAACCTGGCACGTCCTTAAATGACCATAGCTGTTAATAGGACGAAAAACACAAACAAACAAAATGTTATTAGTGATTGGTTAAGTCGAAACTTAAGACAGTTTAGACTTAATATCGTTTCATGATCTTGGGGCCAGATCTCATTCCTGCTGATGAAAAGCCACAGCTGTTATTATAAACATGTGCTATGAGGGTCTTTTAAATAAGAACTTAAAACATGAATAAAATTATAACATATAGCAATGTTAAAGTATCTAGATCTGGTGCAGGGTGAATTATATTTACTGATTCTGAGTATGTGTTATAACTGTGCTTGGTTTATGAAATACTTTTCTTTTATTCTTTATTCTTTTATTCAATTACAAATATGAAGACCTTAACCCTTTCAACACTGTAGACCATAATGGACTCGTCCAGATCAATGCATGGTATAGTCTACTAAAGTTACATAGGGGTGAAAGGGTTAAGTCTTTTGTGCAGTCAAAGCGCACTATCTTTACAGTAACAGTTGTCATGTTTAAGACACTTAGTAAGACATGAAATGAAAACTAATTTAAGATGCTATATGTATTACATTGATACATTTCTATTTATATGATCACAGCTTATAGTGAGTTGACCTACTGTCATAAAGCTTTATTATTGTATGTTGTATTGTAGCCTCTAAAGAGAAGACCTGCCCCTCAGTCGTATGTGCCACGTCCGTTATATCCTCGAAATTCCCGCCCTCCAAATCGTAATCAGAATACATACAACAGTTCATGGTCATACAATTACCCCAAGCCTGCTTATAAATCACCGCTGTACTCGCCACCGAAACCGTCATATAGCGGTCTCCAGGTGCGCCTGTCTGACACGCCAAACCAGACCAACAATCAACGCTCTGTCACTTTTGAGGAGATTGGACGCAAGACATTTAGTCGGGCGATGGACGATGCTAACAGTGATAGACATGTAAGTATAGTGTGGTTAAATTGTACATTATGTCCCGTGGTGTAAAAAAAGTTTCTGGATACTAGCCTGGGGCTAGTAGACACAAATAATCCACTAGCGCGACAAAGTTCTACAAAATCGATCAAGCTTACAACATAATCCTATGATCTGTTTATTCCACATTCACTGATGGATATGTTTTCCTTTTAAAAAATACAATTTAATTTTATCTTATTATTGAATAACTAAATGTCTTTAAAGTAATAGAATCTTGAAAAAAAATAATATCAGTTCGGATACCGGTTCCAGTATAAGAAAGCATAAAAAACAAACATGGCAGTCTTGCCAACTTTTCGACTGATGAACTTTATTTCTGTACCGCACATGCTTATGTCAAATAAAAGAGAATGATTTGCAACACTTTCACTATTCCAAGCTGAAAATCTGGTAGCCCAGGGCGTGGGGCTAGTGGATTTTTACATCCCTGATGTCAGTAATTTATTTCCAACCCATATAATTCGTAGAATTTCATATTGTTTTAGGGTGTATGTAAAAGAATATTTTCAATTTATGCAGAAAATATAGTTATACTTATGAAAATTTATGAAAATGCCTATATTGTAAAATAGATATGCTACACTAAATTTTACAAGAGTTATGTCCCTTGTCTGATTCCTCCATGACTTTTGAGCCTAATGACATGATTTGAAATATATTGTCAAACAGAACCAAGAAACAAATCAAAAGCACCTGGGCCAATATTCATGAAACCGTTCTCATGCTCAATAGCTATAATTACTTGTCTAGCAAGATCCTGGAATAAGTGATTTAGAAAAAAATGAATCATCATCATCATTGGATGTTTCAGTATCATAAACACAATTATTATTTTAATTATTATAGGACGAGCGGCGATCCTTTGGATCACGGTTTGATATTCCACCACGATTCCGGAACTTACAGCAAACAGAAACCAGTCGACAAACAGTAACCAGCCGCCCAGCATTACTGAGTAAGATTGTAGTCGTAATACATCCAGGAGAGTAGCATCTTTTAATTAAATACAAATACATACGTAAAATATTTCACAAAACATCTTTTTGGTGTGTCCTCTAAGTTATTTTACACAAATTTAGTTATGAAATAGAATTAATAATGGAGGATGATGTTAAATTGTGTCTGCTAACAGTTTGTTTAGTTATCACACACTAAAGTGACTTGTAAAATATAAAAGACATTCCTCACAGTACAGTGATGTATGGGCTTCTGGGCTTTTAACATTGGATCTCAGAACTATGTGAGAGAAGGAAGACTGACTTCCTCACCTAGCTGTAAAGTACAAAAATAAAAGGGGCAAGTTCTGATAGTTACGTTGGCCATTACAAAAGTTCCACAAACTACCTTGCAGTCATAAATGATAGAACAGAGATCACTGAACAGTTTGCTATACATCTAGTCGAACCTCGTTATCTATATACAAAAATGCGTGTGAAATCAGGCAGTATCTGAATTTCCACCAATTACAGGCTGTTGCAGCCATCTTGGTTGGGCAGCTGCGAAATATTTTGCCGCAGTTTAACTTTTGCCTTTTTTGCTCTCTGAAATTTATCTCAGGAGCTAACAAAAGCAAACAACATAGAAAACATATCAATAAAATGTGTAAGGCGAAACTACCACTGGGCAGGAACAGATGTTACCAGCTGAGGGCACAAGTTACCCGTTATATAGTAATATTTTGCTAGATATTTCCCATAAAAAAAATTGACTTGATAACTCCCTCTCTCTGGCCATGAAACAAAAAATAATAAGCCTGTCCTAGGAATGGCATTGGTATCAACTTTGTCTAATTCGTCATCTTTCTTAAACAGAAACACCAGCTAAGAAAGCACTGCCACATAGCCTGGAGAAAACAGAATTCGACACAGGTCAGTAATGAACGCTTTCAGAGGACAGTAAAAAAATAGTTTTACTGTGGTCGTGATAAGGGTGCTGTTAGAATTTTAGGACCATTATTAATATAGTAAAATTACATGTCAGATGTACATTTTGACCAAGATAATGTATAGTTTATTTACCATGTTTATCCTGGGAAAAGCCCAGTGAGCCGCAGACGCTATGACTCAAAGAAGGGGGTGGGATTATCGTAAAGAAATCAAATAGCAATTGTTTGAAAAGTTTTCTACTAAATTATATTTGAAATTATTAGGTTTATAACCAGGCATGGGCTTTTTGGTGGATAGATATGGTAGTACGAAATATTATTATTGAAATATTCTAAGCTTCAAGTTCTGTTGAGGGGTTCCAGATGTTTATACCAGTGATACAAACCACACAAAATGTTTATAACATTGATACAAACCACACAAGATGTTTATAACATTGATACAAACCACACAAGATGTTTATAACATTGATACAAACCACACAAGATGTTTATAACATTGATACAAACCACACAAGATGTTTATAACATTGATACAAACCACACAAGATGTTTATAACATTGATACAAACCACACAAGATGTTTATAACATTGATACAAACCACACAAGATGTTTATGATATTGATACAAACCACACAAGATGTCTTTGAAAGCATTTTTCCAAGCTGCAACTTCTGAAGAACATGCAGCCTGTATCTACTTTATTTTTGTCTGTATTGATGTAATAATTGATAGACAAACAATCTGAAGGTTCAAAGTTGAATACAATCACTACTCAATCTTCTAATAAATTGAAGCTGCCAAAAAAGGGTGTGTTTTAGTTTTCTCAAAATCCTTACAGCAATTCCGTAATTTTTCTAAAATATAGCTTTATAAGAAGAAAGGAGCTTAGTCTTGGTTGTACACTCAAAGGAAAGGGGTGTTTTAGTTTTCTCAATCTCCTTTCAGGAATTTAGTAAATTCAAAAGTTTACTTTACATTGACCAAGCTTACACTGAAGTATCTGACCATGTGCTGCAGTTGAAGTGTTGTATCATGTCTAATTTCTTAGACATTTTAGTTCCTTATATTGTTAATAATTTTTATGTTTATTTGATTCATGCTTTAAGATTTTATCCAGGTAAATATCTGTTTTAGAGTTATGAAATCAGCTTGATAATATTCAAAAAAATGACGAAGTTTTCTGTAAAATATGTATTTTTACAAATATTTGGTAATTCCTTCATTTGGTTTGTATACATTCGTATTAGGACATAATTATACAACAGGATGTATTTATCAGTGATCGATGGACGGAAGTTCTACGAAAGGCTGGAGAAATATGCACGCCAACATTTTGACTTGACCTCTTTGGCCATGGAGTTCAGTACGCTACCAATGAAAATTGGCGGATCACAAGGATACGTCAGCTCCCTCACCTTCAGTGGCAAGGTTTACGGCAGTGAGGGTACGTATCTAATGAAGACTGTTGGCTCATGTCGGGGGTGTACTTAATGGTGGATTTTCACCAACATTTCATAAAATGATCCTTAGATGGAGGGAATCAGAAATTATGTCAAAGATAAGGATATCTCTGGAAATGGGGAGGTTGAGTGGGTAAATAAGGGGTCTCCTAGTGCGATACCTTCAAACAATGTAGTTACTGGTAGATTTTGATGAAATCTTTCATTGTTCACTCTGCCCTACATTTGGTGACACTTGCCCCACTTTTATTTGTATCAAATAAGAACCTACACAACATACTGATCAGTGTATTTATGTTACCTACTTAAACTCATCGCATTGTTAAGACCCTTGACCTCTTGTTATGAATACAAATTGTAAATTCAAAACTTACATTTGGTTACTCCTGTTTATACTGTTTGTCACAGATGTCTTTGAAACCCCAGAAGAGGCAACTTATGCTGTGGCCAAGAAGGTGTGTCTAGATCTGGAGTCCAATACAAGTAAGTGACATAGTTATTATACCTCCTAAAGGTGTGACTAGATCTGGAGTCCAATACAAGTAAGGCCAAATAAAATTAATTACTTGGTTCTCAGGCCAATTTTTTTCAAAATAGATGCGGCGGGGCGGTAATTTTTTTTTCATTTTACATGGCAAAAACGAGACGAGGGCAATTTTTTTTTTATTGTGTAGTTTGTAAAACGTTCATTGTGGACATTACCTTGTCTTTTTATAGTTGTGTAGAGACCCGTCATAGAGCAAGCCTCCGAAAATCCCCCCACGATGTTCCAGACGAGAATCAC